TGATGATAGTCTCCATTTACCCAATGAAGGACATTCAAGTTGTTCCCGGTTTTGGGCATTTAAGAATAGAGCTGCCATAAACATCCATGTACAGGTTTTAGACTAAACACACTTTTTTATTTCTCCAGGGTAAATGTCCAGGAGACATAGTCAATTTTCTTCTAAGATATGGATTCCTAGAACTGAAATTTCATAGACAATTGGCTTAGTCAATTGGCTTTGAAAGGATCCTACAATGTGGTGTTTACAAGTCGAAGGGAACTGTAAAAATGGCAGAGCGTGGCAGGTGCATCCGGCCTGCTTTAACTTCATGAGGCGGAAGGAGAATCAAGATCAACAGCCCAAGGCTGGCGGCTGTGAGACAGAGGTCAGACATACCTACTCTCTCCAGTCTTTTTACCAACCCCGACACCAGCCACCCCTCCCATGGCACTCTCTACTTCTCTGCTGGGCTCAGTAAATCATTACAATGGCCACGAAGAACTCACAGACCATATTTACAGTTATGAGGCTTACTAGGGAAGTAACAAGTTACAAATCAGGATCAGGAACGACTCAGGATACAGTTCTTTGATTACGACAACCTCTTCTCAGCCATGCCTGAAGGCAGGCCTCTCTCTGGCCGTTGGCCCCTCAGCCCCTGGGCCTGGCCTCTGCCCTGCTCAGGCAAGTGTTACAAAGCTCTTTAGCTCTGCCGATAAGTGCCCAGAGGCCCCCCATTCTACCCGTAACCTGAAGACTCTCAGCTCTCTCGCTTCCTGGGTCGGCAAGCCTAGCTCCACCACGTGCCTGGAGGCACCCTACTCCACCAACAAGCTGCCTGCCCGGAGGTGCTCAGCTTTCTCGTTCTGTGGGCTGTAAAGCTCACCGTGCTGTCTCCTGCCAGTCTCCTGGTTTTGCTGCCTCTGCTGCTGCTGTTTCTCTGCCACAGCTTCTTGCCGCCCTGCCCTCTGCAGTGTTACAACTTTCTCTCTCTGTTTCCTTGGTCTAGGAGGCTATCAGTGCAGGAATCCTGGGTCCAAAAGATGTGCTCTGCTCCTATCTTGTCTTCCTAGTGGTAATCAGGTGTCCCCCTTTCTGCCTCTGGGGAGGCTCATTTTAAGCCTAGTGGGATGGCAAAACTGACCAATCCCCTTTTTAGGGTTCCATGTGCCTTACTTGCATGGTCCTACCCTTACAATGGTGCTGTGCACCTTATTTGCACTATCAGCAAGCTATCCAATCCTGTTGGTGGGCCACAAGCACCTCATTTGCATAGTCCCACCCAGTCATTTGGTGGGAGTTACAAGACTATGGTGAGAAAAGTCACGTGAAAGCAATCCATTGCACCGCAGGAACCTGGTGAATTTTCCATCATGATGGTACCAGAAGCCAATGAAAGAGGAATGAGCTTACTGTAAACAGTAAAATTACTGTGTTTGCTACATCCTGCTGGGTAAAAGGATCCGCCCGTTTAGTCTGAAATATAATTGCCGTATTTCTTAAATCTTCACAACCAGAAAATACAGTGTCCTTCGCTGGCAAACTATTCTTTCACATTACGTGCCACATTTACAGGGGCAACATCTAGTTAATTAAACACCACTTGGGACAAGAATGGAATCCCTGGGTGGGGTAAATGGTTGATGTGCTTGGCTGATAACGAAAAGACTAGCAGTTTGAGTTCACTCAGAAGTGCCTGGGTAGAAAGGCCTGGTGATCTACTTCTGAAAAATCAGCAACTGAAAACCCTGTGGAGCGCAGCTCTCCTCTGACCCACATGCAGCCACCATGAGTTGGAGTCGACTAGATGGCGGCTGGTAGTGGTGGTGGTAGGACAAGTGTGGGCTTAGAGAAAACAGTGTTGGGAAAGACAACGATGGGAAAAAGGCTCTTTGGAGTATAACAAATATTAACTGGTTTAGATATTCTAGCCATATTTCCCTAAACCCTCAGACTCTTATTCAGTTACTGACAGAAAAATAGAACCTCATAAAAGGAGGTGGGGATTATATCAATGAGAAATAAAACTGATTTTTCCCTCAGAAAAGGGCTATTAGACATAAGATACAAGGATCAGTCACCTTCTCATTAACCTCTCAAAATGAATCTATTTCAGGCCAGGCTTGAAAATGTTTTCTGTCTAAAAGCTACAGTTAATTGTTATTCTTATCAAACAATGACCCACATTAACATTTAGCTTGGGGTCATTAGCATATTTACAAAAAAGGGGGTGTGTGAGATGAGCATTCTTTGCTCTGCTGCTCTTTGTTAGGGGGTGCTACAGAGGAAAGTCGTGAGAAAAAAATGAAGTAAATATAATATATCAATATTTCCAGCTCGCCTATAAATATCAAAATACCTATGCTCATCTCAGCCTTGATCTGGTAGACTACTGATTGAACTTTAATTACATTCAGATACAAGATGGTTTGGGGGTCAGTATCCTTTCTTTCCTGAAGTAAACAGCGGTTAAACTAGTTAGCAAAGACCATCGGCTGAGAAGAGAGGTCACAGTATAAGCTCTTCATTTAGGTATATTGAGATTCATGATTGGAGCAAAGCACTCTCGCTGATTATTCCATGAGATTGTATTTTTTTTCTCTGGACACCGCGGTAGGCATTCTAACACTGTGAAAAACGGACTACTTGAAAGGACTTTGAATGTGCGGCTTGCTCACCAGTTTGGTAGAATTTAAAATACTTCGGGGCTGAGTGAGCATGTGCCAATATATAGACAATGCATGTTTTTAAAAATCAGTTATTGAAAAGTTTGCATAATATCAATAAACCAACTTTGGACTTCCATGGCTTCTTTCATGGATGTTCTTGCTAAGATTAGGAAAGAAAATGTTTGATTAGTTGCTAACACAATTCATGGATGTTCTTGCTAACATTAGGAAAAAATGTTTGATTAGTGGCTAACACACGGCTATAGTATAAAGATATTAACACGGTTCTACAAAATTCTTATTTCCGCCAACGTTGTATTTTCTTATTTCGGAAATCTGGTTGATTAGGAGTTATTCAGTTATGAAAGTATTTTTGCTTGAGAATCAGAAATCACAGCACTGCTATAAAAACCGATTTTTCTATTAATTGTAAGAGAAAATTATGAAGAGTGGAGGTTCTCTGCTTTGAATAAACTGACATCATATTTAACCACTTCACTGTTCATTTTTGTTCCAGTGTTTTGCAAAACAGACACTGGGTGAGACAGTTTCTCAATTTACGTACCTTGGGTGGATATATTCATACCAAACACAAAGTACATTTGAACAGCTAATGCCTGAATTAACCAGATGTTTGGCATAAATTTCAAGTTAAATTAGATATCTCAAAGCATTCCGCTTTCCTAAAGCCTTAAAAAAAATCTTAGCTTTCTTCTCTTCCTCCCACTCATTTCTTGCATGTTAAAGAAGACATTAATACCAAATTTAGGTGGCAGAAAAAAATCTGCATTCTCAGTGACTTTTCCAGGATAAAGAGTAACTGACAATGGCACCAAGGAAGATGTTTAGAAATCTGCCAACAGCCATTTAAAAAAAAAATATGCTAACCCATGTTAACATGTTTTGGTTATAGAAACAGCAGTAGAGTACCAACTAGTCCTTAGGCGGTGCAAACAGCTGACACTTGCAGCTGCTCACCAAGAGTTCGGTGGTTTGGGTCCATCTAGAGGTGCCTTGGAGCCCTGGTGGCCTTGGAAGAAAGGTCTGCAAATCTACTTCCAAAAAGTCAGTCACTGAAAGCCCTATGGAGCACAGTTCTACTCTGACATGTATGGAATCGCCATGAATTGGAGTTGACTCAATAGCAACTGATACTGACAGAGTACTCATAAGGGCATTGATTTCTGGAGAGACACACCCAGATGAGCACTTCAACTCTTCCACCTGTATGACTCTGGGTACGCTACCGATCCTCTCTTGATCTGTGTCCTTATTCATAAAATGGAGATACAATCCCAACGTCTGAGAGTTGTGAAGAATATATGAGGCATCATATGTAAAGCCTTTTAACACACAGCATGTCAGAGACTTTGAGTTTCAGAGATGCTTTATCATTGTGATTATCAGTTCTTGTTTGTTATTATCACTACTCTCAAATACATTCACTCCACATTGATGTGTGCAGTGGAAATTTGGAGAGAGATGGCAAGTTCAGATGACTGACATACAAGAGAAAAAGAGAGGGAAAGATCCTGTCTGCTTTGTTTCCCTGTATCCCTCCTTCTCTTGCTCAGCCTAGAACAATTAGAAGATGCAGACAGTCAACTAGCGTTCTCAGATAAATGGAGTTTGTGGTTACAATCCATCCAGAAGCAATGCATGCATAGTTCAGAATAGAAATGGAAGACCTGGAGAAGAGCTTCATGGAGTGGAACATTAAGAACTTCACAGATTTGATCGTGAAAATATTTAGCCTTGTGAATAAAAGGAAGCCACAACGTAAAGGGAAGGATCCAGCTATCAAGGAGCCCTGGTGATGCCGTGGTTAGGCGCTTGGCCGCTAACCTAAAGATCGGTGGTTTGAACTCACCCAGCGGCTGCGCTGGAGAAAGATGTGGCAGTCTGGTTTGGGTTTATCCAGCTATCCAGATATATTTCCTTAGGTAGCAGATCCTGAAGTCCCCTGTGTTCCCCCTTTCTTTTGCTTGTACCTACCAAACCAACCAAACCTGTTGCCATAGAGTGGCTTCAGAATCACAGCGACCCTACAGGACAGAGCAGCATCGTCCCCAAAAGGTTTCCAAGGTTGCAAATATTTACTGAACCAAGAACCTTTCGGTTAGCTGCCAGTTAGCAGTTGAGAACTTAACCACTGCACCACCAAGGCTGCTTGTACCTAGCCCTGCTTATATTCTACAAAGCAGAGGGAAGAAATGGTATTTACAATGGCTGTGTGCTAGCAGGTTCAATTTTGGGTGGAAGGTGCCTGAAATAGCTCACTGACATGAACCATGCGCTCTCCTTTGCAGATTCCCGCCATCACTGAGCCCACCTGGAAAAGATCCTCACCTGGTAGAATTCTAACGTAATACCCAGAGCAGCACCGATAGTTTACTTGTGCCTCTCGTATTCTGCCACCACAACAAACTCCCGTTGAATTTAGTGCAAATGGGAAATATTTGTCTTCACAGCAGCTGTATCCAGGCTGGGGGTTGTAGAGAACTCCATCACAACAAACCTGAAAGTTGGAAATTGGTTTTCAAAGAATGATCAGTTTAATTAAGAGTACTACACCACCTTAATTATATGTGAGATAATTATTTTCTCATAAGGCCTTGATATAAGACCAAATTTAGCATATCCATTTCCATCGAGTCGTTTCTGACTCATAGCGACCCTTCTAGGACAGAGTAGAACTGCCTCACAGGGTTTCCAAGGAGCGGCTGGTGGCTTCGAACTGCTGACCTTTTGGTTTGCAGCCATAGTTCTCAACCACTGAGCCACCAGGGCTCCAGATACAGCATATTACTTAAAAGAAGAAAAGAATTCAAAGTTAAAAAAAAATTTCCCAGTATTGTAAGAATTCTATAAATGCCATTTGATATAATGCAAATTGTTTTAGTCTTCAACTATGCATTACACTCGATTACAATACTCTATAAATATGAATTATCTTCTGAATGTCAGTGCTTCCAGTGTAAAGAAGATTTAGAATTGTAAATGAACAATTTTCTTCATACATGTTTTTATTTTAATGCTTATTTACTTTGAAAACACCACATCTATGAAACCCTGTTTCTCACTGATCCTTCTTTTTCTTCTTCTTCTTTTTAATAAATTGCATTTTCCTTATAATTTATATGATCACTTATTTATGAACCCAATCTTCAGACAATGCAATCTCCACAGAGTCCAGCTTATAGATACAGAGCATAGACCACCACATGAAAAAAAAAAAAGAAATTTATATGGAAATTAATTTTGAAAAGCCCTCGTAACTCTGTGTTTTCTCCAGGAGCTGTGGAAGAAATTATGTGCTTGAACAATCAAATAACTATTTGCATGCTCACTTGAGGTGTGAGAGAGTGACACTGGATATACGACAAATCAAACACTGAATAGCTGCTGAAACGTAGCCTTAGAACCTATACTGGGCATAAGTTACATTAATTAGAAAGATGCTTCTTCCTGTGTCAGGCAAGAATCAACCGCGATTCAAGAGGTGGTTTCCTTTTGCTCACTGCTGCTTCCAGCATCGGCACTTGAGCTAAACTCCACACAGGAGCAGTAGAAGGTGGCATTCCTTTCTAAGTCTTCCAAAGGAACACCAGCTTAGTCTTCCGCTCATTTTTCAAAAGTTATCAAGAAGCAAAGAACTTAACTCTTAAATTCAAAGCCTACTTTTGGGTTCCTCAGGTAGCCCTACTAACCCTATTGTAATGAATTTCTTTTACGGTGTTTATTTCTCAGCAATGAGGATTCAAAATTAGCCTAATTCCAAGGATAAACTGGATGGCTGTACTCTTCGATGTTATGTTCTGGGTGAAAAGTAAATTTCTAAACTGTTTAAGTCAGTTTTTAAGAGTTAAGCAAAAAATCAGTGTAATTTTTCTCTGTATGTTTGGGATCTAAGACTGCTAGTCATTTTTGCTTTTATGGAAAAACAGCAAGTGCCTCCCTCTTGTTTTATAACACTAACCAAACACTTGCCATTTGTTGTGTGATTTTAAAGCACTGATAAAAGTCCCATTTATATACACTGTGTTTCTGAACAGAGTCCCTGAACAGAGTCCTCCCAGTGGTGCAAATGGTTAACATGCTAGGCTGTTAACCAAAACGTTGGCAGTTCAAGTCCAGCAAGAGGTACCTCGAAAGAAAGGCCTAGAGATTTACTTCCGAAATCATCAGCCATTGAAAACCCTATAGAGCACAGTTCTACTCTGACACATGTGGGTTGTCATGAGTTGGAGCTGATTCAACGCCAACTGGTGGGTTTTTTGGTTTTGGTGTTTCTGGACACTTAAGCGCACTTGGTCTTTTCCTTTAGCAAGCTTATCCAGTACTTGTCTCTTGTCATGCTCTTCTGAAATTCTTCTCGATTTAGCCTTCAAGTATTTATTTAGTGATGGGCCATTAGAACTGGCTCACTTCTCTTCTTTCATGACCAATGTCATTCTCAGGTGGCTTTAGCCATTCAAAACGCGGGCCTTTTGTTCACCCCATTCTGGTTTAGAGCAGGGATAGGCCTCAAAGGGGATATTTCCAAGCAGACATTTCCCTTGGGAATTCTCCATATAAACAGAACAATTCCCAGTCTTTTCATTCGGTCTTTATGTTAGTTCTCTCAGATAACATACGTGGAAATTTCAATAGCTCCAGCTGATAAGTGTGTGGCTAATTTTTTAAAAGACAGTCTTCTGTTACCTATTTATTTACCACAATAAAATTTTTTTTTAAAAAGGGAAGGAAAGAAGACATGAGAAAACAAAACAAAAAGATTTGTTCTAATGATTTTAAAAATTATTAAATTCTTAAAACATGGACCAGAGATGAATAAATAAACATTAAAAAAAAAAAAAAAAAAAGGCAGGCTTTTCCTTGCTTTATGGTTTCTAAAAGCAATTCTAGAATCCATTCTCAAAGTGGGGTCCCTGGACCAGCTGCAGATGCATCACCTGGGAATGTGTCAGAAATGCAGATTCTCGGGCTTTCCTAGACCTATTGGGCCGAAGCTGTGCTGATGGAATCTTGCAACCTGTGTTTGAACAAGCCCTCCAGACCGATGTTTTCTCGAGTTTGAGAACCAGGGCTGTGATCACGTGGCTAAACTTGTACAAACATTTTAGGTCCCCCTGATGTTTACAGTGATATAACCACAAGGTTCTTAGACTCACAATAAAAGTATGTTTTTTATCTTCCCCTAATCTCCCATTTCAGGAAATATATATTAACCTCAAATATACGTTTACAAACAATCTTTCCTCTTGAGATTTTAGATTGACTTCTTTCATTCTCTTACGCTGATAATACATGTGTTGGGTCCTTAATCCTTAACATAAAAATAAGACTCCGTTCAGTGCATCGTTAAAAATTTTGTCGATCTTTAACAATATATAACTTTTGTATTGTAAGAATAGAGGAATATGATGCTTTTGCACCCTTATCCTTAACATAAAAATAAAACTCCGTTTAGTGCATCGTTAAAAATTTTGTTGATTTTTAACAATTTATAACATTTGTATTATAAGAATAGAGGAATATGATGCTTTCTTTTCAAGAATATTGGATGAGGTTTGCACATGCCAGTTTCCTAAAGGTTACATTTTTCTTCATTTCCCTCATACTTCAATGTACATTTATTCTCTGTAAAAGATGACCTGTATCTATTTCTTTCTTTTTTGTGGGGGAGGGGGGTAGAGTAGTGGATCTTGCCTTTTTTTTTTTTTTAATATTCTGTTTTGAGCCATCTTTATATAGAGAGTAACAATTCGTCTAAATGGTTCTCTGTTTTTTCTGGAAAATATTGAACTTACGAATTTTACACTAAATGATCATTTACTTCGTTGTAAAGATTTATTAAATTTCTTCAAAAGATTACTCAAAATAGCCTCTGAAATCAAAGCGAAAAAAAGGTAGAAGTACTTTTATAAATAATTTAGCACCTACATATAGACATTTTTGACTAGTATGCTCTATGTGTACAGGGACTATTTTTCTCTTCATCCTGTGACAAGCACATTTTAACTTAATGTGGACATGTGAAGGGTATTTAACTTTTGATGTTTTAAAATAAAGTTTAAACTGAGAATTAGCTTTGCTGGTTTGACTCTGTGCTGTTCTGCTTTCACCATGAGGCTTGCGGTTGAAAATACGCTCAAATGCCTGATACAAACCAATGCAACTGTGATAGTTTCTGGCCAGAATAATTTATTTATTTTTTTTATGTTGGGAAACCACGTTGTCTCCCTTACTGGAAAAACTTAAAATCTTTGATTTCTATATCTAAACATTTATTCCCTACTTCCAGCTCCTCACGGGATAAAACTTATTAAAATAACAGAAGAAAAAAAAAATGAGGACTTAATGCTATATTTTGCCTAACACTCTTCCAAGCTATATGTCTTTCTCCTGGAGAACATTTATTTTATTTTTTCCCATACAAAAATTTATACATACATTGTTATGTGACTGTAATTGCTCTCCTCCTACTGTGACAGCACACTCCTCCTTTCTACCCCTGATACCCCATGTCCATTCAACCAGCTCCTAACCCTCTCTGCCTTCCCATCTCACCTCTGGACAGAAGCTGCCCATTTACTCTCTTGTATCTACTTGAGCTATGAGGCACATTCCTCAACAGTATCACTTTATGTCCCACAGTCCAGTCCAATCCCTGTCTGAAGAGTTGGCCTCAGAAATTGTTTTAGTTCTGGGCTGATAGAGACTCCAGGGGCCATGCTTTCTGGGGTTCCTCCAGTCTCAGTCAGACCATTAAGTCTGGTCTTCTTACTAGAATTTGAGTTCTGCACCCCACCTTTCTCCTGCTGCATCCAGGACTCTCTGTTGTGTTCCCTGTCAGGGCGGTCATTGGTGGTAGTTGGGCACCATCTAGTTCTTCTGGTCTCAGGCTGATGGAGTCTCTGGTTTATGTGGCCCTTTCTATCTCTTGGGCTCTTTCCTTGTGTCTTTGGTGTCCTTCATTCTCCTTTACGCTAGGTGGTTGGGACCAATTGATGCATCTTAGATGGCCGCTTGCAAGCTTTTAAGACCCCAGAGACACCACTCACCAAAGTAGGATGCAGAACTTTTTCTTAATGAACTTTGTTATGCCAATTGACTTAGATGTCCCCTGAAAGCATGGTCCCCAGAACTCTACCCCTGCTACTCTGTCCCTCAAAGTGTTTGATTGTATTCAGGAAACTTATTAGCTTTGGTTTAGTCCAGTTGTGCTGACTTCCCCTGTAGTTTGTGCTGTCCTTCCCTTCACCTAAGATGATTCTTATCTACTATCTAGTTAGTAAATAACCCTCACCCTCCCTCCCCCCCCACCCTCATAACCATCAAAGAATGTTTTCTTCTGTGTTTAAACCTTTTCTTGAGTTCTTATAATAGTGGTCTTATACAATATTTGTCTTTCTGAGACTGACTAAATTCTCTCAGCATAATGATCTCCAGCTTCCTCCATGTTATAAGACGTTTCATGTCTTCATCGTTGTTCTTTATCATTGCATACTATTCCATTGTGTATATAACATAGTTTGTTTATCCATTCATCTGTTGCTGGGCACCTAGGTTGTTTCCATCTTTTTGCTATTGTGAACAGTGCTGCACTGAACATGAATGTGCATATAACTATTCGTGTGACGGCTCTTATTTCTCTAGGATATATTCCAAGGAGCAGGATAGCTGGATCATATGGTATTTCTATTTCTAGCTTTTTAAGGAAGCACCAAATTACTTTCCAAAGTGGTTGTACCATTTTACATTCCCACCAACAGTGTGTAAGTGTTCCAGTCTCTCCACAACCTCTCCAGCATTTATTATTTTGCATTTTTTGGATTAGTGCTAGCCTTGTTGGGGTGAGATGATATCTCTTGGTAGTTTTGATCTGCATTTCTCCAATGGCTAATGATCGTGAGCATTTCTTCATGTGTCTGTTAGCCGCCTGAATATCTTCTTTGGCAAAGTGCCTGTTCATACCCTTTGCCCATTTTTTAACTGGGTTTTTTGTCTTTTTGTGGTTGAGGTTTTGCAGTATCTTGTAGATTTTAGAGATTAGACGCTGATCAGATTTGTCGTAGCCAAAAATTTTTTCCTAGTCTGTAGGTTGTCTTTTTATTCTTTTGGTGAAGTCTTTTGATGAGCGTGTCTCATTTTTAGGAGCTCCCATTTATCTAGTCTCTCTTCTGGTGCTTATGCATTATTACTTATGGTTTGCATTATGTTTATTCCATGTATTAGGGCTCCTAGCATTGTCCCTATTTTTTTTTCCATGATCTTTATCGTTTTCGATTTTATATTTAAGTCTTTGATCCATTTTGAGTTAGTTTTTCTGCATGGTGTGAGGTATGGGTCTTGTTTCAGTTTTTTGCAGATGGATATCTAGTTATGTCAGAACCGTTCCTTAAAGAGACAGTCTTTTCCCCAATTAACAGACTTTGGGCCTTTGTCAAATATCAGCTGCTCATAGGTGGTTGAATTTATGTCTGGATTCTCAATTCTGTTCCATTGATATATGTATCTGTTGTTGTACCAGTACCAGGCTGTTTTGACTACTGTGGCGGTATAATAGGTTCTAAAATCAGGTGTGTGAGGGCTCCCACTTTGTTCTTCTTCTTGAGTAGTGCTTTACTTATTCGAGGCCTCTTCCCTTTCCATATAAAGTTGGTGATTTTTTTCTCCATCTCATTAAAAAATGCCGGTGGAATTTGGATCAGGATTGCATTGTATCTGTAGATCACCTTGGGTGGAATTGACATTTTCACAATGTTGAGTCTTCCTATCCATGAGTAATGTATGTTTTTCCACTTAAGCAGGTCTCTTTTGATTTTTTGCAGGAATGTCTCATAGTTTTCATTGTATAGGTCTTTTACGTCTCTGGTTAGATTTATTCCTAAGTATTTTATCTTCTTGGGGGCTATTTTAAATGCTATTGATTTGGTGATTTCCTCTTCAAGATTCTCTCTGTTGGTATAAACGAATCCAACTGATGTTTATACGTTTAGCTTGTATCCTGAAACTTTGCTGAAATCTTCTATTAGTTCCAGTAGTTTTCTTGTGGATTCTTTGGGGTTTTCTGTGTGTAATATCATATCATCTGCAAATAGAGACACTTTGGCTTCTTCCCTATCAATCTGGATGCCTTTTATTTCTTTTTCTAGCCTAATTGCTCTGGCTAGGTCCCTGGAGAACATTTTTAATGGGCAAATTTATTCCAGCATTTTTTCCTCTTGGAAATATAAATTTAGTTTTATTTTATAAAAGTCTGTTCATCAGACAGTGTGCATTTAATGGCCTAAAATGATGTAAAACTTAGAGATAATCACAATTTTGGAACCTAAGTACACATATATATATATGTGTGTATATATACCTAGTAACTGCTAGCTTTATCACATTTCTTAAATGAAACCACTGCTAAACTTGTGCCAGCCATAATAATTTGTATTTTGTTCCAAATTGTTTTAGTAACTCATTTTCTTAATAACTGTACCCTTTCTCAGTGAATCTTATGAATTTAGTAGTAGCTTTAGTCATTGATTGTATGATGTTGTTGTTGACAAATAGGAACATAATTTCATTATATGAAATCTTACCTTCAAATAAGGATTTCCTGCATCATTCGTCAATAAAAACCATTTACAAACCCCTCTGTCTGGCTGTGTTATTGATCTGATTCCTAAACTGCAACTAATACGAACATTAATCTGCAAATGACCATAATATAAAAATACTCCTGACAAACCACTAAAGGTCCTCTCCAGAGTTACTCTGCAGTGTCACATAGCTGAAGGGATTTGTTGTAGGGAGAATTCAGGTCACTCAATCCGATAAGAATTTGGGAGGTTCCTTATCATCCCAATAAGCTAGTATTTCCTGAGAAGATGATGCGAGATGAAAGGGCTAAAATGCTCATGAGGATGACAGGATTTTTATAAGCATACTTTTCCATGGGTTCTTCTTGATAGACCAGCAGAAATATTAATTATGATAAATGGTGGTTTAAGAAGCAAGTGATTTTACCTCGAGTGTTTAGTGAGAAAAGCATATTTCACTGACTAGTTTGAAAAGATTTACCTTGGATTCAGGAGAATAGCACATGTGTCCACAGATTTCTTCAGGTTTGTGACATTTCACCGCCTTGCAGAACCCACCACTGTGGTCCTTCATCAACTGCTGTGTTTTAGGGCATGAACGCCATGTTTTCCGTAAGAGATCGTATCCAAGAAGGATGCCATTTGGCTTCCCTGGAGACACCCAGTCAATTTGAAGGGATCTGCAGCAGAGAGAATAATCAATACTTCTGGAAAGACAACACTTAACATTGCTGCTATCAACCTCACCTACTTTTCAATCCATCTTCCAGATTGGTCATAAGATTTGTTTCATCAACAATTTCCTAATTAAAAAGTGGTAGCGACATGATAGTTCCTGGTCAGAATAATTTTTTATGTTGCTGAAACACATTTTCTCCCTTACTGGGAAAAGTTTAAACACACACACACACACACACACACACACAATCAACTAGTAGCTTCTATGCATAAGCATAAAATATGTAACATGTTACATATATATTATGTATCTATGGATATATGTGACTACTTTTTATATGTTTTTTATATTGTTATATGTGACTACCATATAATTTGTTTTGAGAATCCAGGAGAATTATTTAGGCTTTGAGAGAATAACACACGACGTGAGATCAGTCTATCACTTTAAGTTTCAGGGAGAAGAAGGAAGTATCATTCTTTGTGGAGTCCTAGTGGCACAGTGATTAAGAGCTTGGTGCTAAGCAAAAGGTCGGCACTTTGAATCCACCAGCCACTCCTTGGAAACCCCATAGGACAGTTCTACTCTGTCCTATATGGTTGCTATGGGTCGGAATCGTGCAACTGCAATGGGTTTGGTTTTTTGGTCATAATTCTTTGTGGCTAATCAGGAAAACCAAGAAAAAATATTGTTTTAATAAGCAAAGAAACAAAGCATATGACTTAGTAAACAGGGTAGAATCAGAACGTGCAGCAGACCTATTCCCTATTTCTACACACACTTCCTTTTCTACACACGCTAGGACTCCTGATGTGACTGACTCATAGCTTATCAACGAGATGTAACTGTAAGACTGCTGTGGGGCTTGCTCCCACAAAGGTGCCTAGGAAATTTTAGCCTTTTGACACAGCTGCTGCGTTCTCTCCTCCTCTTTCTTTTTGCTAAACTTGATGCCTGAGACTTCAGCAATCACTTAGCATCTATCTGAGAAAGACCATGAGAATCACAAAGACATCGCCATCATATATGGCACTGCTGCACCAGTGCTAACAACCATCTATTTATAGACCTATTTAATGAAGCTTTTGTGGTTGAGAGTTTTGTTACTTACAACAAAAAGAAATCCCCAAATTGATAAAATCTTTAGTATCATTAACTTCCTCCAAATACATTTTACATTGATACATCTTACTTGTTTTTAATAATTTTTTGTGTGTGTTTAAGGTGAAATTTTACACATAAATTAGGTTCCCATTTAACAACTTCTAGACAAATTATTCAGTGATATTGGTTACATTTTTCACAATGTGTCATCATTCTTATTTATTCCATTCTGGTTGTACTATTTCCAGTACTCTAGTTTCCCTTCCCCCTTACCTTCTCATCTTTGCTTTAGAGTAATTTTTGACCACTTAGTTTCATACAGATGATTTTTTAAAGGAGGTCATTATTCATGGGTAGTAGTCTTTATTTTATGAGCTTCAAGGGATAATTTTGGTTTAAAGTTTGAAGAGTATCTTAGTGCAATGGTCTCAGGGTCCTCTAGTTTCAACCAGTCCAGTAAGTCTGGACTTTTTAAGAATTTGAGATCTGTTCCACATTTTTCTCCTGTTCTAATAGGATCCATCTATTGTGGCACTGATCAGAACAGTTGGTATGGTGGCCAAGCACCATCTAGTTCTTCTGGTATCAGGGTAGATGAGGCTGTGATTCGTGTAGACTATGAGTCCTGTAGACTACTTTTTTCTCTGGGTCTTTAGTTTCCTTCTTTCTCTCATGTTCCAGATGAGTAGAGACCAATAGTTGCATCTTAGTTGGCTGCTAGCAAGCTTTTAAGACCCCAGACACTACTCGTCACATAGGGATGTAGAAATACATTTTATGAAATACATTATGCCAATTAACTGAGTTGTCCCACAAAACTGTGGTCCTAAGCCTTCAAATCCTGAAAACCAAACTTGTGAGGTGTTTGGTTATATCTAAGCAGTATCTGTAGCTGTGTCCCCTGCATGGTTTATTATATGTATAGATATACGTGCATGCATACACATATCTGTATGTACATATGTCTATAGATACATCTAGCTGTGCACACATATGTACCCACATATTCATACCCTTACATATATGCCTGTATACATATATGTGTAACCACACACATTTTGTTGGTTGTTGTTGGTATTGTTACAAAATTATATTTGTCATATCCTTTACCAAAAATGTCCTTTTCTCTTGTGCACTTCTTAGTGACATCATTTACCTTGGTCAAGCTTTGTGCATTTCATCCATTTTCGATGTTACCTTTCCCATCATCAAAAATAACAAACGTCTACTATCTCAAGGATCTAGGAAGAAGGACCCGGAGGTCTACTTGTGAAAAGAATTAGCCAGTGAAAATCTTATGAATAGCAGTGAAACATTGGAAGGCACTCAAATGACAACTCTGGAAGAGTTGCCTCCTCATACTAGACTTGACCTTAATCATGTGGATGGAGTCAAGCTTTCAGGATCTTCATTTGCTGATGTGGCACGACTCAAAATGAGAGGAAACAGCTGCAAACATCCATTAATAATTGGAACATAAAATAGGAAAATTGGAAATCGTCAAAAATGAAATGGAACGCATAAACATCGATATTCTAGGCATTTGTGAGCTGAAGTGGACTGGTATTGGTCATTTCGAATCAGACAATCATATGGTCTACTATGCTGGGAATGACAACTTGAAGAGGAATGGCATTGCATTCCTTATCATAAGAACATTTCAAGATCTATCCTGAAGTACAGCACTGTCAGTGATAGGATAATGTCCATACACCTACAAGGAAGACCAGTTAATATGACTATTATTCAAATTTACACACCAACTACTAAGGCCAAAGATGAAGAAACTGAAGATTTTTACCAACTTCTGCAATCTGAAATTGATCGAACACGCAGTTAGGATGCATTGATGATTATTGTTGATTGGAATGTGAAAGTTGGAAACAAAGAAAAAGGGTCAACAGTTGGAAAATATGGCCTTGGTGACAGAAATGGTGCTAGAGATCGCATGATAGAATTTTGCAAGAGCAACGACTTCTTCATTGAAAATACATTTTTTCAATAGCAATAATGGCGACTAATGCCTGATGGAATACACAGGAATCAAATGGACTACATCTGTGGAAAGAGATAACAGAAAAGCTTAACGGCATCAGTCAGAACAAAGCCAGGGGCCAACTGTGGAATAGACCATCAATTGCTCATATGCAAGTTCAAGTTGAAGCTGAAGAAAATTAGAACAAGTCCACAAGAGCCAAAGTACGATCTTGAGTATATCCCACCCGAATTTAGAGACCATCTCAAGAACGGATTTGATGGGTTGAACACTAAAGGCCAAAGACCATACAAGTTGTGGAATGACATCAAGGGCATCATACACGAAGAAATCAAGAGGTCATTTAAAAGACAAGAAAGAAAGAAAAGAACAAAATGGATGTCAGAAGAGACTCTGAAACTTGCTTTTGAAAGTTGAGTAGCTATAGTGAACGGAAGAAATGATTAAGTAAAAGAGCAGAACAGAAGATTTCAAAGGTCGGCTCGAGAGGACAAAGTAAAGTATTATAAGGACATATGCACAGACCTGGAGTTAGAAATCCAAAAGAGAAGAACATGCTCGGCATTTCTCAAGCTGAAAGAACTGAAGAAAAAGTTCAAGCCTCAAGTTGCAATACTGAAGGATTCTATGCGAAAAATATTAAATGACACAGAAAACATCAAAAGAAGATGGAAGGAATACACAGACACACGGTACCAAAAAGAATTGGTCAACGTTCAACTATTTCAGGAGGTAACAGATGATCAGGAACCAATGGTTCTGAAGGAAGAAGTCCAAGCTGCACTGAAGGCATTGAAGAAAAACAAGGCTCCAGGAATTGACAGAATACCAGTTGAGACGTTTCAAGAAAGGGATGCAGTGCTGGAGGTGCTCACCTGTCTATGCCAGGAAATTTGGAGGGCAGTTTACTGGTCAGTTGACTGGAAAAGATCCATACTCATGCCTATTCCCAAGAAAGGTGATCCAACCCAGTGCAGAAATTACTGAACAATATCATTAATATCAAGTAAAATTTTGCTGAAGGTCATTCAAAAGTGGCTGCAGCAGTATAGTGACAGGGAACTGCCAGAAATTCAAGCTGGACTCAGAAGAGGACATGGAACCAGGGATATCATTGCTGATGTCAGATGGATCCTGGCTGAAAGCAGAGAATACCAGAAAGATGTTTACCTGTGTTTTATTTACTATGCAAAAGTATTCGACTGTGTAGATCATAACAAATTAAGGTTAACATTGTGAAGAATGGGAATTTCAGAACACTTAATTGTACTCATGAGGAACCTGTACACAGATCAAGAAGCAGTCATTCGAAAAGAACAAGGGGATAGGGCGTAGTTTAAAGTCAGGAAAGGTGTGTGTCAGGTTTGCATCCTTTCATCATACTTATTCAATCTGTATGCTGAGCAAATAATCCGAGAAGCTGGACTATATGAAGAAGAGGGGGGCATCGGGTTTGGTGGAATACTCATTAACAGTCTGTGATACACAGATGATACAACCTTACTTGCAGAAAGTGAGGATTTGAAGCACTTACTGATGAAGATCAAAGACTACAGCCTTTAGTACGGATTACACCTCAACATAAAGAAAACAAAAAATCCTCACAACTGGACCAATAAACAACACCATGATAAATGGAGAAAATATTGAAGTTGTCAAGGATTTCATTTTACTTGGATCTACAATCAACATCCATGGAAGCAGCAGTCAAGAAATCAAATGCCATATTGCATTTGGCAAATGTGGTGCAAAATAAGTCTTTGAAGTGTTGAAAAGCAAAGATGTCATCTTGAGGACTAATGTGCATGTCATGGATTGAATTATGTCCCCCCAAAAATGTGTGTATCAGTTTGGCTGGGCCATGGTTCCCAGTACTGTGTGGTTGTCCTCCATTTTGTGAT